TTTCTTGGAAGACTAAGTCAAAGGGCCTTACTATTTTCCAATTTCTGTTTGGAAGGGGAGAAAGATGGGCAGTGATTCTAGCCCAGGGTAAAGCACTCCTGTGTGATTTCTCTATGCCCTGACTTCACCTTTGTAAATCATCCTTTTATTAAACTCTGCTCAAATTAGTTTGAAAGTGCCATTTGTTTCTTACTGGGACACTAACTAATACACATGCATTTCCTTTGAGAATTTTCAGATGCCAAGAGTAATACTTCATTTTTCCCTCCATAATTATTAACTGAATGTCTACCATGTGTCAGTGAACAAAGTAGAGGAAAATCATTGCCCTTGCGAAGTTTACATTCTGGTTGGTGGTGACAATGAACAAAATAAATGTGCAAAATTATATGAGGCATAACAATAAGTATGATGAAGAAAAATACAATGGGGCCAGGCTAACAATGGTGGAGGAATTTTAAATTTAAAGTTGGCTGGTCAGAGAAAGTTCCTCTGGGAAATTTACAAAATCATTAAGGGAGACACGAAGTATCAAGGGAGCGTGTCATGAAGATTTCTGCCAAGCATGGCAGGCAGAAAAAATAGCAAATAAAAATGGCCCATGCCAAAAATGAGTATGGTTTGCTCAAGGAGGCCAGTGTGATAGAATCAGGGTAGTCAGGCAGAAACAGAGGTGAGAGAGACAGATCCTGTAGAACAAAAAGGCCACCAAAGACTATGAATTGTACTCAGTGTAGAAAAAGAACACTGGAGGTCTGGGGCTGTGACACAATCTAACATTTTTGTTGCCATTGTTGCATTTTCTTGTGTGTGAGTGCGTGTGCATTTTAGAATAAAAGAGTACAAGCAAATAATGAAGAATATTTAAAGAGTAAATAATGATCCATGCAATTGATAATGATGGTTTAAATCAAGTTAATGGTGATGGAATTGTTGACAAAATGGTTGGAAATAGGTTCAAAACATATTTTAAAAGTAGAGTCAACATAATTTTCTACTTGATGTATTCATTCAACAGATATTTTGAGTGCTTACTATTGACGAGGCATTACATTAGGTGCTTGCCATAGAGCAGTGAACCAAACAAAGATTCCCTACTCCTATAAAAATAAAAATATTATAATATACATGTTGTGAAGAGTAAGCAAACCGAATACAGTATATCAAATAGAGTGTATCATTTGTTACATATTATTAAGTACTATGAAAAAATAAAAAAAAAACACTTGGTTCAAACGGGAAAACAGGTAAGTTAAAATAATAAATGCACCTCATTGAGTAGGTGACCTTTGGGTAATCACTTAGGGGAAGAGAGAAAACCAGACAATCACATATTTGCAGGAGGAGTTCTGTAGGCAGAGAGAAGACCTAGAGCAGGTGCCAGCAGGTCAGGGCATGCCTGGGGGTTGTGGAATCACAAGAAGGCTGGTGGGACTAGAACAGATCAGTGGTAGACAAGATATTCAGACAGGACCCCAGAGGATTAACAGGTTATCAACCCAACAAAGCCTTGTAAAATTTTGTAAGGACTTGTGCCTACACTCAAGAAGAGGCCAATAAGTCACTGCAGGGATTTGTGTGGATTGGTAAAACCTAACTTTTCATTTCAAAGGGTTATTCTCTTTGCAGTTTTTAAATGAGCTCTGCTTTGAAGCAAGTAGAACTTTTATGTAAGGTGGGATATGTGTAAAAGGGATGAGACAAGGGTAAACTTGCCATTTAATGACCTGGAAAATCTGGAAGGAAAGTAGGTTTTAGGGAAGGTTGTGTGGAGATTAGGGTCTCAGTGCTGGAAATACTAACACTGAAATGACTATTAGAGATTTACTTGCATATAATTTATTTTTCCCATGTACAGTCCCTTCTGTCTATCATTCCATAGCAGTGAGTTATTCAACATAAGAGTTTGCAAAAACCAAGTTCATATGCTCAACCTAGCCAATTTATTATTTATTTGGGACACAACTATACTTGCATGGGAAAAAAAAAAGTGATTTCTAATTCTCTGTAGTGTAGTTTTAGAGTTAAGCCACCAGTGAAGGTATCTCAACAATTGTGTTTCATTACATGAATAAACTTAGATCTTTGATGAAATTAGTAAGTCTTCTTTGCTTCAGTTTTACAGATCTTTATCCCAAGAGCTTTATATAAAAAGAAAATGGTGATTTGAATTTTCATATGATAATCCCCATGTCAATCTGCCAATTATTTTGAGACTTGGGGGTGGGTAGTGAATGGTATTATTCCTCTTCTGCAATCTAAAGATTTTAAAAAATGAATATAGAGTGAATTTTATGCTAAAGATTATTATTAAGAGGAAACCTTCCCATCCAAGTCCTCTCAATTTTGAAGGTAAAATTGAATTTGACCTTTAACTAAAGATCAATTCCACCGGGTAACCAATTTGGACTGATTCCACTGGAAATCACCTAAGAGTATTCTGGCATTGTAAATGGCCATTAAAAGCCATCGGTGCTATAATTCTTTTAGAAACAGATAGTTATGTGAGAGTCATATGATGGTTATTGCTTTATGATTTAGATATTATTTAATGAACAGTTGGAAATATCTATCAAAACTAACTTGACAAAAGAGGACAGAGAGGACCTCCATCTCAGCCAAGACTACTTGGGAAAAATGCTATAATTTCCAAAAGCATACCCTTCAAAATGACAATAATAGCATATTATCCATTTGCTTTACATCTTTCACTTAAAATTATCAAAGCCATTTGCAGTGCTTGACTTCAGTCTTATGTATCAACTGGAGTCACAACTATAAATTGTCAGGACTTACCATCACCATCATAAGAGGTCATGCTAGGTGGAGAGTTTTAACCTGGTTTGTGTCATGGACCATCTTGGCAGCCTTTCAAGACCTCAGAATAAAAGTTTTAAGTATATAGATATCCAAGGTACGGATCATATTGAAATACAGTACATTATTTTAAATAGACCAACTTATCTCATTTTGCTTAAATGTGCCTATTCAAAATGTTTCAGTTTTTTCAATGAAACTATAATTTCTTTATTACTTATCATGTTTTTACTTTATCTGCATTGCTCATGAAGTGTCAGCAAAATTATTTATTTGAAGATATCTCATGGCTGGCATAAATAACCAACTCTTTGATTCTTTGTATTTGTTTACAGTCTTATTGATCCAAGTGCCAGTAAAACATACAACTGGTCGTTTACAATTTATATAAATGTAATTGTTTTTATGTCTTCCTCCAATTATGTATACATTTACATGCATTTAATGGTTAACCCATGTTTTTGAACACATCAATTTAGATGTTCTTCAAGATGCTAGAAATACTATTACAAATAAGACAAAAGTAAATAAATTAAGAGGAGGAAAGTAAGGCAAGGGAAGAAGAAATCAAGGAAGGAAGGAAAGTTTGGAGGGAAAGAGGAAGCAAAAGGAAGAAAAGATAATGTCAAAGAAAGCATGATGGGGGATCGAAGTAACAGGATCTGAGAATGAGCTAGATGGTCAGGAAAAAGACACCTTGAAGAGATGACATGATCATGTTTACATACAAAGATCAAGAGTTCTACCTTAGAACAGAAAGAAGTAGCTCCTTCTGATTTCCATTCCCAGTCAGGTAACAGTGAGGATATCTTCTATAGAATTATATCTGGCAAATCTCAGGAAGTGATTGCCCACTCTCATTGTAAGTGAAAGGGCACCATAGAAGAAGCAGCATTTAACTTGACTATACATCTTTATCATTTCAGTTATCTTCAAAGGGCCTGTTCTACTATTACTTAGTTTTCCCTTTCTATTAGCTGTCTTTGCTTCAAAAAGAAACTCCTACATTGAAGGGTAAGGGCCACATTCTCTCTAAAACCTGTGTCACAACATCTTTCCTGAGTTCTTCTAGCTTCCTGTGATTATCTGACAATCTTGGCATTCTTAGCATGCAGCTACAGCACTTCATGGTGTTGTCTCATGGTGTTCTTTCATATGTCTGGGTCTTCTTGTTGTCTTTTTGTAAGGACCATAGTCATACTGGATTGAGGATCCATCCTACTCCGGTACGATTTTGTCTTACATCATTACATCTGCAATGACCTAATTTCCCAGTAAGGTCTCATTCTTGTTTGTGATGTTAAGACTGCCACATATATTGGGGGTTGGAGGAAACCATTCAAACCCACAGTAGACATTTCTAGAATTCACAAAAATAAAAATGAAAGCATGTAGCAATCACATAAAATAGAATTAATTGAGGTTAAGAATTTAATATTCTTAACCTTAATTTTGACATATCTGTTTTATTGTTGATCATAAGGATGTTGCTAAAATGGCAAGACTCATTTTTCTCATTCATAAAATGGTGGTATTTCTTTGCAGAATTATTTTGAAGATGGAAATAATGCAAATACAATGGGAATTCAAGAAATTCATATCTCCACTCAATTTTCATAAATATTTTTGACATTACAAAGCTAAATACAAGACTAAACAGAAAGGTATTGTCAGTGTTCATTCTTAGGGAAAAAACTGTAGGCCTTGACTCAAAAGTTTTAATAAGTTTAAATAGATCCGTTTTTCTATTTCAAGTTCAGAGTTCCAAATTAGAAATATTTCCTGATAGGGCCTCCCAGTGGTACAGCAGTTTGAGCACAGCACTGTGGAGCTGTCCACACCCTCTGCAGCACGGGTTCAATTCCTGGCCGGCCAGGGAGATTCTCACATGGCACAGCAGACCTCTCTTGTCTCACCCACTGCTCCCCTCAGCAGTGCTTTGAGTCCATCTACCTGTTCTGCTCCCAGCTCTGTCTCTGGTGAATCCTCTCACCCTCCTGTGCCTCTGGCCTATACCCCTGTACTTGTATAAAAATAAATAAATCTTTTTTAAAAAAAAAGAAATGTTTCCTGATACATTTCTATTGCAAGCTGGATTGAATCAAACCCAGTAATTACAGGAAAACTTGAAGAACCATCAGAAAAATTAAACAACAACAACAACAACTCACTTACTAGTTTACCTGAAAGATAGTTACTATAGTTGCCAAGGAGCTGTTAGTATTTCTCAAAGAATTACTTGTCTTGAAGGTAAAGGCATGGCCTGCAATTAAGAGCATATTTTTCAATAAGGCCTATGCTGATTACCCAATATAAATTATGTCTACCCAATAATCTCTCACAGCAGCTTGCCCTTTCCTTTGTAGCATCTATCACATGTTATAATTAAATATTTAAGTCTGTGATATTTGTCTACTGTCTGTTTTCCAGGCTAGATCTTAAGTGTCTAGGTAATAGGGACTAGGTCTCTAGCTGCAAACGTAGTGATTGTCACACAGAAAGTGTTCAATAAATATCACCTTAATGAATAAATGGATGAATAAAAACATTTTCACTCTCTCCAGACAGTCCATTTGATAGATTTGTCTTTAGCAAGTGTACAATAAATTGTACATATATTTTCATGTCCATTGCTTAGAGGCACTGGATAAATCCATGAAGTATTGTTTACAAAACACTTTAAAATTCCCATCAACAACCTATCTTGAATACAACCTATCTTTTATACTCCTTTTCATCTTTCATAATTATCTATTTCATCTTTCATTTTTATTGAAATGTAATTTGCAAAATAACTATACAAAAGAGGATAAAGCAGAGAAAAGTAAGAATGAATAAGAAAAAATACACAAGGCATAGATGATAGCAAGAGGCAAATTAAACCAAATTCCAAAGAAAAGATCATTAAAGGAAAGTATAAAGGACCAAGGTGAGGACATAAACAAACCACATTAAAAAATATATATATATATATGGAACATTTTATATATATATATATATATATATATATATATACACACACATACATATGGCATATACCATCTGACTAAATCAGTCTCTACTCCTTTTTCTTACTATCAACCACAAAGATCTTGGTTAATCCTTTTTAATTAAAGACTTTGGCCCATAGTTCACACTTTAACTTTCTATTTGAAATCCCACCACCATCCAATGTGGCTTCTAGGCCAGAAAAAATAAGCACCCAATAAAAGTAAGATTTACAACTTTTGTGCCATTACAACTTTTTTCCCTCATGAGGAAAGCCTTAATCTCTGAAATAATTAACTCAATGACTTCAATCTCTCCAAACTCCCATCCCTCCAGCTCCTGAACTCAACTTTTTCTATACTACTTCTTCCATCTAATCACATCTTCCAAAGCTGTGACTGATGGCACATGCAAATAACCATGGAAGCGCTAAAAATATGTGGATGCGTTTTGTCTCTTACAAGATCAATTGTGTCAGAACCTTTTGGATTCAAATTCAGGCTCTGGTATATTATAAAGCAACCCAAGTTCTAAGGAGACAGGTTAATTTCCACTGCCCTGTCTCTGTATACCTTTCTCTTTTGAATGCCTTTCCCATCTAGCTTGAATTCTAAGTCTCTTCATTTCAAATTGATCTTTTGTCAATAACCTCAACTCTTTTTCTGTGATCTCCTCCGCTGTTTTCAACTGGCTAAGTTTAAGCCTTCATTGGAAACTACTGTTTTAAGCTTGTAGCACTACTAAAGGAAAAAAGTTCAATCATGCATGGAATTGTCACTAATTTGAAGTCACTGATACAAAATGATTCTCATAGTTATCGTGAAATCCTCCTATGTTCCTTACAAACTCACTTTTGGTTTTCTCTGTAACATTTATATCAAACGGTCTCCTTTTGCTTCAAATTTCAAACCTCATCAGCTTAGCCATCTCTCACAGATATCTACATATGACAACCTCACATTAAGTAAAACATCTTTTCATGGAAACTCCCTGAACTTCAGATTGCCCTAGCTTCAAACATGCAGGCGTTCTGCATGAGTTTGCCTCTTTTTTTTTTTTTTTTTCCCATTATGATGTAAGAAATGTCCTTCATTCTCTCTGTGACTCACTTTCAACTTGTTTACACAATCTCTTTGGCTTCTTCTCAAAGATTGTGCTTTGTTCATAGGTTACTTATCCATATATAATTGTTTTAATGAAACCAGTCACGGCCTGGAATTGAACTGTAAGTCCACACTAATTGACTGAGTGACCATAGCATTGACCTTACCTCTTCATGTTCTCATTATAAGTACAAAATGAGCATAAGAAATATTCCTATCTCACAGCATATTAATAAGAATTGAAAATGGTCTTCTTTATAAATACCTCAGAGCACAATAAAAGTATTTGACAAATAAAACATCCCTTAATTCCTATATATTTAATTTCCCCCACTGTATTCACTTCTTCTAATCACTATTTACACACTCTTTGGGGGAAAATATGTCACCTCCATGTTCTCCTTCAGTAGCCAACGCATCCTTCCATTCACAATCAAACATATATGAAAAGTCTTAATCCCATCTCTACTTCTGTTTCTCCTTTTCACTCCACAATCTTCTAAAATCTGGATCCTACTTCCCCCCACTCTTCTGAACCTGCTCTTGTCAATGTCAGAGATGATGGCCTTGTAGTTAAATCCAATAAATAATTTCCAGGTCTTATCTACCTGAACACTTGGCAGAGTTTGACACTATTGACTGTTCCTTCTTTCTTGACATGCCCTCTCCCTTTGGCTTATCTGCAACTGCACTCTCCTTGTTTGCCTTATACTTCACTGGCCATTTCATTCTTAGTCTCTTTTGTGAATTTTCCTTTCTCCTTGACCTACCCTTTAATTATTGTCAATCTTAAGATTCTTGTCATAAGCCCTTTTACTATCTTATTTTAAATAATTGTGTTAGCTAATATTATCTGTATCCAGGGCATCAATTTCCATCTATAACATCTAGATCCCATCCACAGATTTACAGCTTACGTGGGAGGGTACAGAGAAAGTTTAAGAACAAACATTCTGGTGTCAGTACATCAATGTTCAAGGATTGAATCATTACTCTAAACTTACTAGGTATGGGATGGAGAAATCGTTTCAGGTCAGATATTTGAAAAATAATTTTAAGAATGATCTCTTATTCACTTAAGAAAACATGATTAGATTGTTTAAGTGACTAGATGATTTACAGAAATACTTAACATTTTGTCTATTGCTCATTGTTTCTACATACAGATCTTTTTATAAGCTTTCTGCATACAGATCTTTTTGTAAGTATGACAACAGGCTACTTGACACCATTATTTGTTTGTCCCATAAAGTCTTCAAATTCAGTGTCTCAGTATATTTTCCCCAGCCTCCTTATCTTCAGGTCTTTTCTGATCATTTAGTGGCATAGTCACCCAACCAGAATTTCATTCCCAATACTTTAATGTCTTTTTAATTTTCAGATGCTTGTAATTAAGTCACTCTTTCTATTTCTAATATTGTTTATTGGTTGTGTCTTTCTTTTTCTTTTAAAAAGAAATCCTCTCAGAGATTTGTCTATTTATCAGCATCTTCAAGGAACTAGCTTTGTGTGTTTTAAAAATAACTTCATAGAATTTATCATATTTTAAAGCTGAGTGGTATTCCATGGTGTATCTGTACCACATCTTCCTAATCCACTCATCGGTCTTTGGGCACTTAGGTTGTTTCCATAGATTGACTATTGTAAATAGTGCTGAAATAAACATAAGTGCTGCTATATCTCTTCCTTTTAGTGGTTTTGTATTTTGGGGACAGATCACTAAGAGTTGAATTGCTGGATCTTATTAAGGTAGATCTATTGTTACTATTTTGAGAAATCACCATACTGTTCTCCTTGGCAGATGGACCAATCTACATTCTGTCCAACAGTTTATGAGGGTTTCTTTTTATTTTTGATATGGGCTGTTTTCCCATATGTGATATGGTATTTCATCATGTTTGTAATTAATATTTCCCTGATGAAATGTGATAATTTTTTTTTCATGTGTCCACTGGCCCTCTATATGTCTTTTTTGAAGAAATGCCATTTTGTCTCTTCTGCCTATTTTTTTTTTTTTTAAATATTTATTTATTTATTTATACATACAAGCACTGGGTACAGTCAGAAGCGCGGGAGGGTGAGAGAATTCACCAGAGCCAGAGCGGGGAGCAGAACAGGCAGAAGGACCGAAGTACACTGCTGAGGGGAGCAGCGGGCGGCAGGAGAGGTCTGCGCGCCATGTGGGACCCTCCTCCGGTGGCCGGGGAACAGCCGGGGATCGAACCGGCGCTGCAGAGGCTGCGGGCAGCTTCGCAACCCAGCGCTCAACGGCTGCGCCACCGGGGAGGCCCTGCCTATTTTTTGATTGGGTTATTTGAGTTCTTTTTGTTAAGTTGCATGAGTTTTAGTATTGACATTATTTCTTTCTTGAATGCTTTTTAGAAATCTTTATTTCTGTTTCTTTGTGATAACTTCTCAGTTGTTTTCATCTTTGCATGACTTGATTCACATATTTTTCAAATTTATTTTTCTCTGGTTATAATAGTCATTTCCTTCAGTACTTTGAAGAGATCTTACAAGCTCTCCCAGTATCCAGTGTTTCTCTAATTATTCATTTCTTTATCAGTCTCCCTTCTCTTTGATTGCTTTGTAATTGGTTAGATTGTTTTTAACTTATGATTATGGAAGATTATATTCTACTTTTGAAGACATTCTAATGAAGGACTCACTAAAATAAGGAATATGAGATGAATTCCTACAATGAACAATAATCTGGGGTTAGATCCAGGATTTGTATCTTTGCTATGTCACTTCTTAGTTTCACAGCCTTGGGGAGACCACAAAACCTCTTTAAATACCCAAATCCTTCTCTTTCAAAATCCTACTCTATCAAACTCAGAAGGTGGCAACCTCAGGGGATGGCAGAGAGGATTGAAAGAGATGGAGTGCAGAAATACTCAGCTCACTGCATAATTCAGAGAAGTGCCCAAGAGATTATGCCAAGTTAAGAAATGTACACTCATCTAACTTCCACCTTGGATTGTCTGTTATGGATGATACATGAACTGCTGAGGTTGGCAAGATCCAGGGAAACAGTTTGATTGTCAATTAGATTAATATTCAGAATAGATATCATTGTTGAGTATTTTCCCATAACTCTTTAACTATTTTTAAAGGTTTACTCTTTGTCTTTATTCTACAAGTTCACTACAACGTGTTTCACTTTCAACTTTTTCATATTTATCCTGCTTGAAGAATAGGATGCTTCTTGGGTTTGAGGATCTATATTTTCATCAATACTGAAAAAAAATATTGTTTTGAATTATTGTCTTGCCTCTATTCTCTCCCTCTGGGATTGAGTCATATGTCTGCTAAAATTACATAATTACCCTTTATATCTTGCAATATCTTATTCATATTTTCCATATTTTTGTCTCTCTGACTCCTGTTGACTAATTTTGGACACATTCTATTTCACTAACTCTCTCTTTAGATGTATCCATTCCGCTGTTTAATCAATTGAAGTTTAAATTGAATCACTGTATGTACATTATTAGAAGCTATATAGTTTAAAGTTTATCTGTTAATCTCTAATAAGTCTTTCATTAAAGACAGGTAAAACTATAATTTCTATTTCTTTATATCACTTTGACAGTGTACTTAACATTTTGTGTCTGACATTTTCATCAACTCTAGGAATTTAGAGTAATTAACTCCCTGTTTGTTTTTTTCTTTCTGCTATGCTCAGACAAAAGGACTTGCTTTCTCTCTTGAATTATATCTTTATTACTTGAACTTAATCAGTGATATTCCTATGAGCATAAATTAAAGACTTGGAAAGTTTTTGTTCTAATAACCAAAGAACTCCAGAACCCTGAGAGCATTTCAGTCCTTTCTGAGGATCTAGACTAAGTACTGGAGACTGTTTCTCATTCACAAACTATTACAGTTTTCCAATGGCAAACTGTTAATATCTGCAGAAACATCCAACATCCTCTCTCTCCTTCAAGCAGTTCACTCTAATTTTGTCTTTCATTCCACCTCTTACATTGCACACTCTAGGCAATATAAATGCTTCATCTTATTTCCCTGTGCCATGCATTCTCTCTGCCCTTGACCCCTGAGCATCCTACTTCCTCTTCCTGATATTCTCCCTTACCTCATTATCCTCTATCCCCCTCTCAACCCCAAATTCTAACAATTTCTACTGAGTAGACTCTATTCCTCCTTCAAGGCTAAATTTAATATTTTATTATGTCACTTACCACATTTTATTGTAATTTCTTTTTACTTGTCTGTATTCCCAGTTAGAATATACATTCCATGGCAACAAATACCATCTGCTTTGTTTATTTGTGTGTCCTAGACACTTGGTCAAATGTCTTACCTTAGGATAATGAATATTCATTGAATAAATGAAAATGAGGATAGATTTATAACTAGTAAGAGAATCTTGAAAAAGAATCAAAATGAGAATTTCAACTAGTGCTACATAGTTTTTAATCTTTTTTCTTCATCAAATCTAAACTTCAATACAGATTTCTTAAATAAATATCTCACATATATTGAGCTCAATATTTTTATTAAAGAGATAAAGTATTCACTCAATTAGCAATATCCTTGCACATATCTAAAACTGTAAAGATGCAGTGATGGAAACTGTTACTAGTTATATTGAAATATATATATATATATATATATATATATATACACACACACATATAGCTTTTAAATACAGCATAGTCCTCATTATTTTATCTTAGGTCCATTTTCACACAAAACATCTTAATTGGTATTTGAATCCTACTATTTTCAGTTTGTCACAGGGTCCAGCTTAACCACAGTCTACACCACCCACTGTCTCTATCCATTTTGTCCTGTCACAGTCACATCAAGCAGCCTTGAGTGTAATCATATCAAAATCGATTTTCATGGCTGAGAGAAAAATAATGGAAATTTCTCTAATGTAGTAAATGTATGTGTT